TTTCCCTACTCTTGTAGCTATCAAGCGTCACGGCTTAATTTACACGTTTAAATAAGAAGACTAGCATTACACAATGATTGTTGTTGTTGTTGTTGTTGTTGTTGTTGTTGCTGCTGTTGCTGTTGCTGTTGTGGTTACTGCTGCTTGTCGTGGTTAACAAAAGCAGCGGAATTACCGTTAATTATCTGGAATAAAAGAAAGTTTATATTTCTTGCGAGAAATTGATTTTTTCGGTATCACTGGATGGATTCAGTTACCTAATAACATTCGTGAATCATCATTCATACTCATCCTTTCGATGTTATCGAAATGCATTAAAAGACAGTTTGCAAAGTCGACGATTTTTTCCCCCTAACACCGACAAATTTTCCACGAAATTCCCATCGTGGATGCTTTTTACCTCGAATTCCAAGATATCTGAAGGGTGAGCGTTTCTCAATTTCGTACATGCCGAGATTGTTTCCTCGATTGCTTATACCTAATGGGAGTAACGCAGCTCACATTTCGTTTGATCGTAATCTGTTTCGTCGTTATACGATTTATATAGTACATACCTTGATAACCGATCGTAGTTCCCGTTATACTAGAGTTGGACCCGTAAATCTCCGTAGCGTCCCTTTTGCCTCTCATTCCGTGAAAACCTATACGAGCCCTTTTAAAGGATTCGCTACCACTTGCTATATCTTGAAAATCCGCAGCCCTTTTCTCGTAATCGGACGGACGAATCAAATAATCCAAGTAATCGTCTAATGTATCCTTCTCGTGTTGCAGTCCCTGCGAAATATTCGAAATATTCGAAATATTCGAAATATTCGAAATATTCGAAATATTCGAAATATTCGAAATATTCGAAATATTCGAAATATTCGAAATATTGGAAAATTTCTTGAGATTCGTTATGTATCGCTATTTAATATAAACGAGATAGACGAATGGAAGTTATTCGCGTAAATGCAAATACATAGAATAGATATACATAGAAGCGATATAAGTGCGTGTAGAAAGCGAAAGGAAAGGAAGTAAAATGAAAGATTGAAATTTACATTGAAGTTTACTCACATGAAATCCCACAATACCTCGTTTATCGAGTTCTTCCAGTGCATTAAGAATCATTTTTTTGCCCCTTGTTCCATGAAATCCCATTGGAGCTCTTTTTTCCCACTCTTTTAGAAATTCGTCCTTCTTATCGAGAATATTTCGATATCCATCGATGGAAAATATTCCCCTTCCATAGTATTCCGGGTAATCGATCAAGTAGATATCCTTTTCCTTTGAATCTTGGAATCTCGTGGTAGTTGGTTTTTTAATTTCATCCAAGATCTGCGTACGCATATGAAATGTATACGTGTAATTACGTTGGAATATCGAAGTAAAGAGGAGAAATAATTCTTGTACTATTTTGGTAAATATATCGAAAGACACGTGTCTATACGTACATGCAGCTATTTTCCGATGCAACTGTCTTGTTGGTGAAATAATGGTTGGGAAAGGTTAAAAATATGGAAAAATGTGGAAGGCGATGGAAAAAGGGAGAAGGAAAAGGAAAGACGTTGAAAAATGTTTCTTTTCTTCGCGTTGTTCGCGTTGTTCGCGTTTTTCGAATAATTTTCAAAATTCAACGTTTGCTTACCTCCTCGAGAGATTTTTTGCCTCTCATTCCTTGAAATCCCATCGGTGCACGTTTGTAATATTCATCATCTAACGAGGACTTCTTCCCTCTCATACCTTGAAAACCCATCGGTGCACGTTTGTTAGTATCCTCGGGGAAAAGTTCGTTTTCGACGTCAGCGATTATCGAGTTTTTCTTTCCACGCATACCCTATATAAAACGCAATGCAACAACACATGGTGTAGAACGTCGATAAACCCGCAAGAGACGTAAATGAATAATCATGGCACGATTGGTAACGAATAGGTAGAATAACGATGGAATAACTATCGGGAAAATGAGCATTAAATGCGCAAGATGACTTTTCAATTGTTTTCAAAGGGAACTATTACCTGGAAACCCATGGGTGCGCGTTTTAAAAATTCAAAATCATTCGAATCCAAGGAGAGAAAATTCTTTTTTCCTCGCATTCCTTGAAATCCCATAGAGCCACGTTTGTCGGAGAAAACATTGCCTGTTAGTGACTCTTGGGCAATTACGAATGTGACCGATACCATCAGCAGCAAAGTCGAACGGATGATCATTCTGCGATAAATAAATTTGTCATTATTATTCTATCATTTTCTCATATATGAAATTTACGAATTCGCGGTTCGAATCGATACGAATCGGTTTACTTTTACGTTTTAAATATTCTGCGTTTAAGCGAAATTTGCGCAAAATGCTTCTTCTTTCTCGTCAATTTATCCTCGATTTATCGTGTCAGTTTATCGTCAATTTATCGTCAATTTATCGTCAATTTATCGTCAATTTATCGTCAATTTATCGTATTGGCTACTTGCTCGCTATCTACTTAATTTACTCGTGGTTATTAAATCCGTGATTAAGGGAGGAACGAAACGATCCGCGGTGAAACGCAAAGGACGAGAATTGGCCGTTTCCTGCGTAGAAAGTGCGCGTCGAGTACTTTTTATTATTACGTATTATCACGATTATATAATACTATCACTGGAACGATGTTTTATGAATATTAAATGAAAAATAAAAGTACGCAATCTTTTTTTTTCGTTGTAATTTTTATGCGAATTATTATTTATAAGTATTATTATTATAATAAGCATTGTTTACATTTCTTCTCCTCTCGGACTCCTTTAACACGTATTCTTTAACACGTACCCTTTAACACGTACGATTTGCAGATACGACACGTATACGTTTACCATATGTAAAAGAATTCCGAGCGGAGACTGTTTTGTATGATGAGTATACGAATACGCGAATGAATCGGCCATCTTCGTTGAGCAACAACGGATCGTCGTTGGGTCACAGATATCGCTTTGTAAGTTTAAACGATGCGGTAAACCGTGCTGGATCGTATAGCTTGATTAAAACGCCTCTCGACGTCGTACCTCGTAGCACCTCATTGCCTCGTGGTTTCTTCCGTCATTGTCCCTTCGTCTTTGAAATTTATGATTTCATTTTGTTTAACTTTGCGACACCGCAACAGTCTTTGCTACTTTCTCTATGTTTCCACCTTAATCTTTCGAGAAAGAGAGAGAAAGAGACAACAACGTTTCGATAACTTTCTTTGAAAAGAAGAGAAGAATGTCGGAAATTTTTTAAACTCATTTACGCATATTTGTACTTACATACGTATGAAAATGGGTTTGCAGTGTAAATATCGTTAAATAGTATCGAATCGAACAATTCTTGTTTTTTAATGCGTATGCACACGTTTTTTACGTGATACGTGTAACGTATCAACGTTTCTAAAACTCACGACTAGAGTGTAGAAACTAGAATCACTAGACGTGATCGTTAATATGCGAGTGTTCCTTTCGTTTAGAAAAATACGAGTAAATTAGCGAAGAAATTTGAAAGTGATCGGTAAAACGAATAGAAGAATTGTGGATCGTCGAGGTCAGTTTGTTGATTAATTTACGCGAAATTTACGCGAAATTTACGCGAAATTTACGTAAAATAAGCGGAGCGAAGATCTCCCTATTGGATAAAAAGACGGACGCGAGGCGAGGAAAGGATAGATCGACGAGGATTCGGGTAGCGGGAAGAAAAGGGAGTAGCAGGGTTGCTTCAGGTGGTATCGCATAGATTCTACGCTAAACCAGCTTTTCTTCACGGGTCGGTCACTCGTGTAATCGTTGTGGAAACGTGCCTTCTTTGTATTTCATATTTTCTCTTAAAATCGATGATCCACGCCCGACAGCAAACTTTTCCCTGAAATATAATCGAACAGGTAGTTGGAAACACTCGTTGAAACTATTGCGATACGCGAATGATAAGAAGGGCGAAAAACAGCGGTTAGTAGTTTCGTTACCGAGACCATTTCACGTTAACGAGCCTAAAGTGTTTCGTTCGATCCGATTTCTTTTAGGCAAGCCACGATCGTTTCTTTTATAAATATCTTTATCTTGCACCGAGAATATTTTTAACCACCTTTGATAGTTTACTCGTAGAGCGGTATCACATTTATCTCTTCGAAAATCCGAAAGCTTCTACACGTGTAAGTTTAAGTACGATATTTCGAATAACCAGCTTCTCCAGAAAAAGATCATTTTTCTTTTTCTTTTCTTTTCTTTTTCTTTTCCCTTCTTTTTTTCTTTTTCTTCTTCTTCTGTATTTTTTTCTCTTTTTTTTTTTTTTTTT